TAAACGTATAAAAGGAGATATTTCAGAAATATTTAAAACGAGAATTTAATTAAGTAATTTGGTTGGCTTGCCTGACTGCGGTGTCCGGCGCCATCACGACCCTTAGTGGATTTTGGGTCGTGAAATGAGTTTTGGAGATCTTTGATTGGGGATTTGAGGGGCCCTTTGAGGTCCGATTTTGATGGTTTTGATATGTATATACTCGGGACTGAAAGGAGTTTCTAGTTTTGTAATTTTTGTTGGATTCCGAGACGTGGGCCCGGGGGCCAGGTTTGAGTCTAAATCGGGATTTTTGGTCTAATTTGATAATTTTCGTGTGGAATTCATTCCTTTAGCGTATATTGATGATAATATACTAATTTTGGTTAGATTCGGGGCATTTGGAGGCCGAGTCGAGAGGCAAGGGCATCGCGAGTTAGAGTTTTGTCCAGTTTGAGGTAAGTAATGATTGTAAATCTTGTCCTGAGGGTATGAAACCACGAATGTCACATTTTTCACTACTCTGAAGTGACGCACACCCTAGATGACGAGCGTGAGGGCGTGCACCGTTAGGGATCGTGACTTGGTCCGTCTCGTAGCAACTATTAAGTTGCGTATTTGACTGGAAACTATTTGATACTTATGTATTTTAGAAAGTATTACTATGTTTTGGGCTGAATGCCATATTTGGGCCTCGTGCCAAGCTGTTTGGACCCTTAGGGGCTTTTTACTATTATTCCTCACTGTTTTGATTAATATCTGTACTCAATCATGCTATGTTTTACTGATTTCATAACTCAACCTTATTTACTCTGTTTGAGGTATAAAATGATATTTTGGGCCGAGCACCCTGTTTTACTATTAGCCCGAGTGGCTTGAGAGGTTTCCTACTGAGTGAGGCCAAGGGCCTGTGTTGTGAGGATATCATGGGATCGGGCTGCGCGCCGCAGCATGTTGTACTGATTTGTAATATATGAGAGGCCGAGGGCCTAATTTATTATGCCACGAGATGGCTTGTTATAGCGTTTGGGCTGTAGGAGCCCCTCCGGAGTCTGTACACCCCCAGTGAGCGCGGGTACCCTGAGTGAGTTATATGATGTTGCCCGAGGGGCTATTCTTGATTCATATTGTGCCCGAGGGGCTGATTACGAGTGGTTGTGAGGTTGCCCGAGGGGCTGATTCTGAGTGATGTTATGCCCGGGGGCGATTTATGATACATGCCATTTATGATTTTCATCATTTTTACTCTGAACTTCATTGAACATCCGTTGAAACTGTTAGAGAAACATTTTCAAAGGATTTTTACTGAAATTAGATTTTAACGAGATGATTTGATTTATAAACTGCTTTGGAAACATATTGTACTTACTGTGGTGTTATGAAGTGGATTTATGTGTTCTTACTGCTCAGTCTTTATTTACTTTTATTACTTACTGAGTTGGCGTACTCACATTACTCCCTGCACCTTGTGTGCAGATCCAGGAGTTGCGGGTCGTGATATCAAGCGCTGATCCTTCATCCGTCGCGGATATCCGGAGTCGGCAAGGTAGCTGCATGGCGATCGCAGCCTTGTTCTTCTCCCTCTTATCTTCCTTAGACTATATTAGTATTTTCCAGACCGTGTTAGTCTTAGTTGTATTTCGAACAGTCCTTATTAGATGCTCGTGACTTATGACACCCCGATGTCGGGCCTTTGTTCTTTCCGCACTTGTTTTTGGACTTATATTGTGGCATTCTACTAATTAATAGTTTAAAACGTCTTTATTATGAAATATATGTTTTGATTTGGATTGTGTCGGCTGGCCTAGTTTCATGATAGGCACCATCACAACCGAGTAGGTTTTGAGGTCGTGACATAAACTTTCCATCACTCTTACTACATGAAAAGAAAAGACAATAGGCTATAGATAAATTGAAGTAGATTAAAAACGTAATCGAGGTAAAATCACAAATATACAAATGTAAGTACACCCCTAATAGATCATAGTTAAATTAAGTAGATTTAAAACATAAAAGAGGTAAAATCACAAACATACAAATGTAAGTAAACCCCTTTTGGGTGCGACTCTTTTTCTGGATTCTGCGTAAATATGTAATGTTTTGTATACCGAAATCATAAGTACGTCGCTCAACTAAGCATTAAAGACGATGTACTAAAGGGACAACTCAATGGCTAAAATATCACAATTTAAATTCAATATTACGATCATAATCTCTTAATTATTGATGTCCGATTAGTCTTTCTCATTTTCAATTTAACTAAAAGAAAGTCTAAAACATGTTTCATGAATGAATCCATGTCACTTAATATTATAAACAATTTATGATGCACATATTAAACATGACCATATATTAAATTTTGTTTTCATCGTTGACAAAACAATTTGTTTTCATCCTCATTTATTAAAATGTACCTAACTAGGCCCCATGGTCCCCCAAAATAGTTGTCCTAATTACTAAATTTGTCACAAAATAGTCCAATTGATTCTCTAGTAGTAGTATTAATTATTTTAAGAATAAAAATTAATAATAAAAACTACTCGGTCATATATAAGATTAAAAAAAATAAAAAAAACTAAGAATCAAATATCATAAGTTATTATTCCCTTTTATTTAACGTAGATTTGCAGAATATTTTTACTTTCTAGAAGGAGTAAGCAGGTACGACTTTTTTAAAAATTTTATGAAATAAAATATTATCTCTCTGCATCATATTACTTGTTGTTTCTTTTAAGTCGGTTCTCTTATTATTTTGCTGTCGTTACTATTTCTTTTTATTCAGCATTCCAACATGGCTTCTTCACTGCTGTTTTTTTCTCAAACTTTTTCTCTTTGAGTCAGGATTTATCGAAAACAGACTCTCTAATTCACACAAGGTAGGAATAAGATTTGCGTACCTTGGCGAGTGGAGGAAGAAGAGGAAAAGAACTAGACACTATAAAGGAAGAGAAGATTTGCAAAAAGGATGAAGAGAAGAGCCGTTTAACATTAAGAGCAGTAAAAGAAGGGAAACGATGTTTCTTTTGCAGGGAAAATAAACGATGGTTAAGCTTTCCAATTTTCTTTATTAGAAAACTTTTTTTCATCACTGTTAAAGGGAAAATGTCAAAAACATGACAATAAAGAAAAATGTCAATGTTGGACTGAGAGAGGCACCACTGCTTCTTTAACCAGTACGATAGTTTATCTTTTTTTTTCCAGATTTTTGAACTTTTTTCTTATTTTTTATCAAAAAAATGAAATCTCTTTGTCATTATTACTCCTTTTATTGCTATTCATCAAATCCATTTCATCTCTCTTTCTTCCGTTTTCTTTATGGTCATTATTACTCTATTTGCTCCCTTTCTTCAAATTCATCTTTCTTCTTTACTTCTCTTCCGTTATTTCTCCCTCATTATTACTCCATTTATTTCTTTTCCTCAAATCCCTCTGTATTCGTTTTCTTAGAATATTTTTTTATTTTTCTCTATAAAATACAAAGCCCTAAGGGCAGGCATAAGATTGAGAAGAAGCCAGTGTTGGAGAAATCCTTCGATGATAAAATTATGGCGGAGAAGAAGCCAAAGCTGTGAAGATGCATCTCAAAGATTATTTTTTGGTGTTGCCATCAACTGTTTGCCTTCTCCCCTTATTTTTTGATGCAACACTTTGAAAGTGCTCTTTAGCCTTCTATTTAAGTAAAGCCTATATTTATTTCCTCTTTCATAACTTAAATTTGATTGAGGCATTTATCTTTTGGTATGGTACCTTGCCTTTTTAATAACTTCAAATTCGAAATTCTGTGGATATGCTAAAAGGTCCATTTGAAATATTTGTATGATGGATTAAGCTTAGTATTGGAATAAACTGGACATAAATATAGCATAATGCATATAAAAGTTCTATTGCCGAATCTCGGTCAATTTGAAATTGTCATGATTGGTTGATAGATTGATTGATGGCACTTCGCAGATTACAGAAAGATGGTAACGAGATATTTTATAGCCACAGAAGTAATTGATAGTTAAGCTAAGTCCCACAATATCTTGGTAGGATTGGGAATAGAATTGTTTCAGCAAGATGTGAAAATAATTACTAGAATTTAATAATATTATTAAAAATATCATGCTTTATTGCATTTGTTTCTGCTAATTAATTTCATATGTGTTTTTTTCCTTATATTTTTAAAAATTTCGTTTGTGGCATACATTATAATTTATACTTTATTTTTTATTTATGAAAATGTTGTTTCTTCTATCTCAAATAAAATTACAAAAGAAATTCAGTTCAAAACTTTTTGAATGATTGACCGCGCGAAGCGCGGGTAAATTTACTAGTTACTTATATAATTCATCTTGAAGAGATTTACGGAATATAATACAATAATAAAAAATCGTCGTAGGTTTAATTTCTCTATTTAAATTATAGGTTTGGTACAATCTACTCGTGAAGCAAGTTATGGAAGAAAATTTGTTGAATACTCTTATTTTGATGCTTTAGTTTTTTACGGTAAAACTCTTCTCGAAGAGTTTCCGTTTCTTTTTTTTTGTCGTCCGTTAAGAAATTAGCGACTTATTTCTATGTCTGGTTCAATAGAGGGAGATATTAATCCTACCCCTTCGTCTCTTATTACTAATGCACTCATGTTTAATTTGAATACTATATGGCGAAAATTTTTTATTCAAAATTTATAATAATTTAGGTCACATGACTCACATCATTCCTTTAGTTATATTTTTTACTATTTCAGAGTTTTATATAAAAGTTTGTTGAATAAAAGTGAAAGGACTATTACCATTAATTTTTTTTTTCCTTTCAAAAAAGACTCTTACAATTTTTACCGCACTCTTTTTTAAGGTAACGTCGCCTCGACTTTTCCATTTCTTAAAAAAGAAAAGACCAAAAATAAATAAAATACCACACGTTTTATAATAATTAGGTTTTCTTTCTTTTTCCCTTTATTATTTTAACCTTTTCTTGCCCACAAAGCGAAGATTGGCATCATCATCACATCATTATATAAATAGGGGAGTCGGCTGGTGAAACTGCCATTTTGCAGAGGCCAAAAAATTATCACCTAGAGAGAGAAAAAAAAAATACATTCAAATCGAAAAATCACCTTTTTCTAGGGTTTGTTAAAATTAGCTGCTCTGGATTTCTTCTTTCTCTCTTCCGTGGCTTCCTTAGGTTATGCCGTTTCACCTACAGGTGATTTTATTATTATTCCTCCGTATTTTGTTTTTTTTTTTTTAATTTTGGTTGTTTTTTTGAGTTGAATTTATGAATTTGTGGTTGTATATTGTGTTTTATATGAATTTGAGGTCAGATCTGAACGTATTTGATTTTTTTTTAGGAATTAATTAGTTCTGAATCTACGCGTTATGAATTGTTTGCTTTTCATATTGAATTGTGCTTTGTTAATGAATTCGAGGCGTTGTAATACAATTTCTCGAGCTAGCACCTGTTTTAATGTATTATCTGATTTTTCGGCTATAATTTATAATGTTTATTTTGCTTTCCTATTAATCTCAAATTAGGGCTGATGTATGCATGATTGAGTTTTTATTTGCTTGTGGAGCTAGTTTTGTGTGAGTCTCTTTTATTGTGGTGTATGAGAGATTGATTTATCCAATTTGATTGGGCGATTCCGGTTACATGGATTGAGCATTAGCACTCCTTGCTATACAGCTATAGTTACATTAAGTTCCGTTTGCCTCGAGTTTTTTAGTTGTAATGGCGAGAGATGGATCTAGGATTTGTAGTTTATGGGTTCTGATAGTGACCTTAAATTATATACAATAATAATTTGGTTCAAAGTCAAATATTTATAGATATTTAGTGGATTTCTTAATAAATATACAGAGTCTAGTTGGTAATTGTGAGATTAGGAACCTCTAGTTGTAAGGGAAATGATTGAATATTGGAATGATATGTGCTTTAATAGAGCGAATAGATATGGAGGATTTGTGCAACTAGTTTGGGTTTGAGGTTAGTTGACTGATTGGTTTGGTAGGTTGGGTGTATTCTTTTACCAGCTCAATGCTTGGAATCTGGTGATCTTGTGGATTTTGGTGGTGACTTAGTCTTTTGGGTGTTTGTTAAGTTTTGGCCTTTTGAGGGTTAACTTATTGAGTTGCTAAAAGTTTTTGAGGTTTAGAAAGTATCATTACCTTAATGATCTTCTAGGTAAGTCTTCAAAGCTGGGGTTTCAGCTATTTAATTGTGTAGTTGTAATTGTTTTTTAGGCATTAATGGTTGTAAGTTGCACCTTATGTGTGCATAGCTGTTACAGTGGTTTTTCTATCTGTTAATTGCTTATTAAATAGGCATTGCGGCGAGATGCACCATAATGTAGAATTTTGCATGTATAAACTTGTAACGCCATTTAATGATTTAATTATGTGTGCATGTTGTGAATATTCATATTCATGCTTTGAGCTGCAAAAATTATGCGACTGGCATCAGATTCACAATTTTCTATCCATCTTTTTAGTATTTGTTCTTGTCTTGTGTATGCTTTACGACATTTATGAGTGTCTCAAAAATGATCATGTGGATGTAATTAACAAAATATATGGTTGCGTTCTAATTATCCATTATTGTCCTACTGATAACTTGAACAGCGGTGGAGACAACCGGTCTCTGCTACTCTTGTTTCATGTGTATTTACGTAAGGAAATTGTAAGAGGTTCCTTTTGAGTGCTCACCAGTTAATTATTTGCTTTATATTTAATTAGTCAAATAATGCTATTCCGTCATTTTCTCAAGTTCTTTCGTTTTCTTTGTTAATTCTTTTCCAGGATTTGGTAGATTTCAATTCCAGGGTATTAATATTACTTAGGACATGGAGCAATTGTACCTTTGCTCAGTTCGCTTCGAGTGCCAAGCTTTTTCATTCCAGGAAGTCCTTGATTGGCGGTTCCTCATCCGTGGAACTTTCCTTCTTGTTTCTTTTGTCAATTGCACTTAGTGAACAGCTTCTATTGAATGATCAGTACAGGAGGACAAATGCGAATTTTGTATAAGCTAGGTGTTGGATGTTTTGCTCAATTCCATAAGTAAGCTGCACCCACCTTGTTATGATGTCAGTTGTTACTGTACTGTTAACTACCTCGGCAAGTCTATTGTTCCTAGTGCATCACCAATACAAAACCCATTCTGGATCGTTTGGAACCTTCCTCTGAGGTATTGATATGGGTTGTGTGTCTGCTTATCCAGTTGTTTATGTTTGTAATAGCATCGCACAAATCTTTAATGTCTCTTTCCTTATGTGCAGGACTAGAGTCAGCTGATGTTTCTACGCATCGTTGAGAGTTAGATTGCATTTTACCCACTTTTGTCTTAGTTTCTAAGAATCTTCATCAGGATTCAGTTAACTGGAGTATCAATATCAGATTAGAGCGTATTTGAAGCAAGGAGCTAGTGTACTTTTCAGAAACACTGTCAACTGGATCTTGAGCTGATAATTCATCCTTCTGAATTGGGCTTGTTTCGGGTCTTAGTTGTGAAGTGAGATCAACATGCTCTTCAGCATCTATGTTTCCTTGCTTTCTCTGCCTTGTTATTATAGTGGATTTGTTAGTGCGGTATATTTGATGAATAAGGCTGTCAAGCCCATCCATCTTATCAGTACTGGTTTTGTTCTTGTCCGTACTGCAGCGGAAAACTGACGGTTGATTTTGCTGAATCAGCCAGGCTACTAGTTCCTATTTAATAATTCTCTTTCCAGTCAACTAGTGAAGAGGAACAACTCCACGTTGTTTTTATTGTCTTTATATCTCCAATAACCGGGTGTCCTTTGTGCTACTGAACCTCCAAAAAATGGAAAGGTGCGATGGTGAATTTTTTCCTTACAGTTAGCACTCTTTATTTTCAGTTTTTGCTCAACATGTTCTGGTGATGGCACAGGTACAAGATAATTAAGGAAGTTGGTAATGGTACATTTGGGAGTGTGTGGCGAGCTTTGAATAAACAGACTGGTGAAGTGGTAGGTTTGGATGTCTTACAAACAAGAAATAAATTACTGATATTGCTGCTGTTGGAAGTTCTTCTAAAACTACTCATTTATGTACCATAGGTTGCAATTAAAAAAATGAAGAAGAAGTATTATTCCTGGGAAGAATGCATAAACTTGAGAGAAGTCAAGGTAAAATGAGATTCTGCCTTAATAGTTACCCTTGCCTTTTCCTCTTTCGAATGCAATTAATTGCTTATTCTTTTGCAGTCATTGAGGAAAATGATCCATCCAAATATCGTTAAGCTCAAAGAAGTGATTAGGGAGAATGACATTTTGTACTTTGTGTTCGAATACATGGTATGTGATGGTTCTTGACCATCTATTTTTTTATGAATCAGTTATATTTACCTATCTAACTCCATGTGGACTTTTCTCAGGAGTGCAACTTATATCACCTTATGAAGGACAGGCCTAAGCTTTTCTTAGAATCAGAAGTGAGAAACTGGTGCTTCCAAATATTTCAAGGTCTTGCATACATGCATCAACGAGGATATTTTCATCGCGACCTTAAGCCAGGTGATCATGGCTGATTCTCTTTGAGTTAATTTGATCACAGCTTCTGTGAGGATCTTTTCATTTATCAAATTGAAGGGTTGGATCTCCTTGCTATTTGATGGTGAAGACTGAAGGTGGAAAGCTAATATTTCCAAAGCTATGCTTTCCCCCTTTTGCATTTCCTCTGCAGTGTTGAAGTTCAAACTCTCTTTTTCTTATTTTGGATTTGACTTGCAGTCCATGACAGCATGTTACGGCATTTCATCAGAATGTTCTTTTCAATTTTCAGGATTCTGATCTGACATGTTTTTCTACTGTTGTACAGAGAACTTGTTGGTTTCAAAAGATACAATAAAAATTGCTGATTTCGGTCTTGCTCGGGAGATCAATTCTCAGCCCCCATATACGGAATATGTCTCAACTCGCTGGTCAGTGCATCCCTGATCTGTTTTATCTTATTTGAGCAAGTTACTCAGGTGATCTTTTCTTTTTTCCTTTTTCTGATAGCTGTCATGTGGAACTGCAGGTATCGTGCCCCTGAAGTTCTTCTACAGTCACCAATCTATGGTCCCGCTGTCGGTGAGTATGAAATTTTTAGTATCTATTTGAAATTTTGTTGCTCTTCCCCCTTGTTTAATCTATTGCTTTTCTTCGGTTTTATTATTGATTCTCTCTCTTATATCCAGATATGTGGGCAATGGGTGCAATAATGGCTGAGCTATTAACTCTTCGTCCTCTATTCCCGGGTTCAAGGTGTGCATTCGCCTTTCTGATTTTTTCCCTTTTTGTTAATGCATTTTCTTCTTCTATACTTTTGAACTACAGTTCAATTTCAATTTACATGTGCACTGATTATTTATATAAGGGGTGATTGGTAGAGTTGAGATGGGTTGGGCTATGTGATGTTCCGATCGTGTATCAGTTTTCTACTGCTGTTTAATTTTTATAGACGTTAAATGATAGTTTCATAATGGATAGTTGGATTTTGGACATAGTAATTTTGCCATATATTTTCCTTTTGCTGAAAATTGTCTCATTTTTGGTGCAGTGAAGCAGATGAGATCTACAAAATATGCAGTGTTATAGGTACTCCATCAAAGAGTGAATGGGCTCATGGACACGAACTTGCAAATTCTATCAACTACCAGTTTCCACAGGTCCAATGTGTTCTCCTTGTTTATTTTAAATAAAGGGGACTAGAAAAGTTCTGTTTTTCATGAGCTGATATAAATAAGCCTTGATCTCTAAAGGTTTTCCTACTCATCCTCTCCCCATCATGCGGTTTTGATTCTTTAATCCCAAGAGATTTTTGTTTTTTTCACAAATATGTGAACAAGTGGGCTCTATGGTAGAAATTTAGAGTGCCTGTTTTATCGGTCATACCCTTTTGTTTTTGGTTAAATTTGTTTGACACCTCCTTTGTGGTTTGATGTGGCAGATCGCTGGTGTAAATCTTTCTTTGTTACTCCCATCTGCCAGTGAGGATGCAGTTAATCTAATCACTGTAAGATCTTGAGAAAGCAATTGCGTTTATCTTATGAATTTGTTTGATAGATCTTTGCAGCAGAAGGAGAAAAACCTTCTTTTTAAATTTACTTCCCTGTTCTTAATGTTTGAAATATGGCACTAAGGATAACTGAGCTGCTTACTTGGCATCTCACCTATTCTTGTTTCCTGCAGTCGCTTTGTTCGTGGGACCCTTGCAAGAGGCCAACAGCAGTCGAAGTTCTTCAGCACCGTTTCTTCCAGGTGATAAACTTCTTCTATTTGTGAACTATCAATTTTCTATCTCCTATTTAGAGTTCATGGAACTGATATCGGTTTTGATATGACAGAGTTGCTTTTATATACCTCCATCACTACGTTCTAAGGCTGCTGTTGCTAGGACTCCTCCATCTGGTTTGTTCTTGTTATTTTTAATAAAGCTTTTCTGGGAGTAATTGGGTTTTATATTCAAAGAACTAATCAGATCTTTGGCGGTTGCAGCTGGAATGAAGGGTGCCGTGGAGCAGAAAACCAATAGGTGGTCATCTGGTACAATAACCAACTCAAAACCTCGTAGCAACTTCTCTCCTGTCAAGTCGCAATTTAGCCCAGGTAGCATATAAAGATCTGACATAAATCGTAATAGTTATTGGAGCTATTATTCTTCCTGCAGAGCTTTAAAAAACCACCATCTTCTGTTTTGGATCCAAACATGAAAGCACCATGTTCCTTTCTAGTCTGTTGACTCTGTACAAATGGTTTATTTCCTTTGTTCTAATGCATCTATGATATTTTCTAGTAATCACCTCGTAACATGTGTAACAGGTGTCCAAAGGAAGTTGCAACTGAATTATCAGGTATTTGCTGTGGAGAATTTCGAATTGTTTTTTTTAACAGCCCAATAGGGGTAGATATCATCAGTGTCCTGCTTCATCTAATTTATACCAAAATTGTTTTTGTCCAGGACGCGACGAAGAATGATAAATCCCTAAAAGGCTCTATTAAGCAGCCAGCAAAATATCGTCCTCCTGCAAGGAATGCTCCTGGTGAGTTCCAACATTAAGCTTCTACTGTACAACTAGTAGTTCCTGGATAAAGGTACTTTTGTGTTATTTGTATTGGTTCCTAATGACTGTTTTATGTGGCAGTTGTTGGTTCTGCGGTGAAGACTCGTGCAGTCTCTGATGCTGCTGAGAAGCTTGCCAACATGAGCATTGGCTCTGGTAGGGCGCCTATAAAGCATCCATTGCCTCAGCCTATGAAGGCAGGAGGGTTGCATCCATTGCCTCAACCTATGAAGGCAGGAGGGTTGCATGGGCCGCGTGACGTGTTCCTGGGACGATCTCAAGATATTATGCCTGGAAGAAGCTATTCGAGGAAAGTCGCAGGATGAAGAGATGGTCGGTCGTATCCGGGGTGTGTTTTCTTGTGATGGTGTTTTCTAGTAATTGTGTTGTGTGCCTGACTACATCTGGATAAGTTTGGTGAGAAGCTGTTTATGTATGTTATGCCAGTTTGTTTCCTTTCGGTGATACAGTAGGATGTTGGGAACTGTGTGTTAAATAAACGTTGTGGTTGTGTTTGAAATAGATTTTTCTCTGACCAACATTTGCTATAAATAAATGGTGTGATGGTGTTTTAAATAGTATTCTTTGACTTGTATTTGCGATCGTCGTTGCAATATTACGTTGATGTTTTGACAGCTGAGTTTCCTAAGGTTAAGTGGTCTCTGACCAGATGCTTACTCTATCTGTCGTAGAAAATCTTTGCACGGTAATTTGATTATTAGTAATACCGCGTTGAGTTCGTCAGCAGATGCCTTGTTTCCTTGGTGCGCTTTGCATATGCTTGCTGATCTACAATTTAGTGTTAAAAGCAATACCTTAAAGACTAGGTTCTGCAGAGGTGAATATATGGTCTAAGGTCCTGTGGATTCAAAATGAATGTGACCATATATATACATATCCTAATCTTTTTCTGTTTATATATGCAAATATATTATTCGAGACGAAAATAATGGATTCAGTATAACGCGCATACTTTGCCTTAGATGAAGCTAAATAATCATTTTGCTCTCTTCGTCATGTCTTCCATTCCTCTCTTTATAAAATCCATTTCTGTTTGAAGCTTACGTGCGCGCACACACAAGCACAGAAACACGCAAAAGACTTGGGAAAGAGCGCTTACTGAGAATATGGAGTTGAAAGCATACTGACTTACATGTCGGGTTCTCATAAATTTCACGTAAGATAAAAAGGTTTTTTCATCATCAAAAACAGTTTGATTTCTGATTTCTTGCATTGCATTGCATTGCCAAAATGAAAAGAAAAAAGAACTCCAAAAAAAAAAAAAAAATGGAGATTGCTCTCCAATCCCCTAGGGGTAAGGGGTGGACCTTCTGTTTGATTCAATCTCATATAATTGCTGCTTTCGAAGCGGCGGAAAGAGAAGAAGGAAGAAAGACATTGTGGGAATTTCAAGGACAATGGAAAATTCAAATTACATTAACAACAATAATTCTTTAGCTTATGATGGTCGGGTGACGAATAAATTACTTTCCGTTGCATCTCATATTACAGTTAAAATATAATGGTATAGCCAGTTTTCACACTGGTCAATGAAAAATAGCCAGCGTTTATCAAGTCAATGAAAAATAGCCACTATTTTGCTGCAACAGGGACAGGTCCAGTATAATATACGGGAGTTCTGGTGCATTTGTATACGAACTCCAGCATATTATGCTGGACCGGTATACTTTGCTAACTCCTGTAAAATTTGCGGGAGACTGGAGCACCAGTGCTCCAAACTCCAGTATATTATACTGGACAATTATACTTGCTTGAACTCCCGTAAAATTTGCGGGCGTATTTTTCCGGATTTTGAACAGTGTTTTCGCTCAGATTTAAAGTGGCTAAATTTCGATGACTTTTGAAACTTAGCTATTTTTCAACGACCAGTGGTAAATCTGGCTATTTTTGAATTTCTCCCCATATTACCTCATTATCGAGAACAATTTTGAGATATTGGCGTTGACTTGTACAAGGCAATTTTAGAAGTAATTATTAAAATAGTAGCTTTATTTCAACATATTAAATAACAACGACAAGGTTAGTTTCATAGATATAGTATCATATCAAAATCTAGACAAAGAGTTAAATAAGTTTACAACGACGACGACGATCCAGTAAAATCCCACGGGTAAAGTAAAAAATCATGGCATACGGCATACAGGATTCGAACTCATACGGGTAAAGTTAAATAAGTTTATTTGCTGAAAATTGCAAAAGTTGAATAGTAAGTAATATTCTTGGTGGAATAGTATCGTATTCTAGAACGTCCTAAACTAAAAAGAAGAAAATTTGAATTACAAACGGGGGAATTAGAAAAGGAGATTTTTTGTTTGTTCTTGTTTTCTTTTTTTTACTTTTAAACTAAAATTAATAGAAGAAACTGATATTTTTACCCAAAAAGAGAACATAGTGTATACCTTTGCTTCTCCTTAAGTTATCTTCTAATAAAAAAGAAAGTTATCTTATGTCCAAAAATAGAACAAGTTTCGAAAAATTTGACACTCAATTTAATGATTGTGTTATTGTGAACTGTGCTGGCGGGAGGTAACAGATACCTGTTAGAACAGTCCAGATTATGGTTGTCCAACGGGACGGGACGGCCCGTCCCGTCCCGCGTCCCGTACCGGTCCCGTCCCGTCCCGTCCCGTCCCGGTCCCGTCCCGTCCCGTCCCGCTTCAAGTTAAATGGGATGGGCCAATGTTAAACGGGACACGGGATGGGATGGGACGACCATTTCGTCCCGTTTGTCCCGTCCCGTTTCGTCCCGTTTCGTCCCGTCCCGTCCCGTCCCGTCCCGTCCCGCGTCCCGTCCCGCGTCCCGCCAGTTTTTTTTTTTTTTAAAAAACTAGCCGTTGGGCAACGGCTTAAATGGCAAAAATAGCCGTTGCCAACGGTCCAAACAACCCCTACCCCCTGTACCCCTTGTAAGGGGTAAGCCTAAGGTTGAACGTCCCAAAACATCACTTGTATGGAAATTTTTAAACATGATAAAGTCAATCATCGTGCTATCTGTGAAAAATGTAAGCAACAATCTGCACACTCAGTAAGTGGTGGGACGGGGGGTTTAACTAGACACTTAAGAAGTGCTCACAAAGATTTATGGATACAAGCTAACATAGAAGCCGGAAAAATTATAGATCCTACCATCAGTTCTGGAACTCCTAGTGGATCTGGTTCTAATCAAATTCAACAACAACTTGACCCTGCTTCTGGTCATGTTTTACGCAAATATAACAAAGATAGAGATCGTGAGAACTTAGCAAAAATGGTGGTTGTCTGTGGCTTACCTTTTACTTTTCCTTCTCACCCTACTTTTGTGCATTATATACAAGAAACTTATAACCCTGCTTTTCAAAGTTTTCCTAAGACCACGGTTAGAAATGATGTTTTTAAATTTCAAACTGAATATCTTCAGTATATTCGTTGTGTATTTTTTCACTTAGATTGTAAAGTGTCTATCACATCTGATATAGGTCGTAGTCCTAATGGTTGTGATTATTTAACTGTTACATGTCATTGGGTTGATCATCACTGGAACTTGCAAAAACGTATTATTGGTTATAAATTTGTTGATTCAAAACACACTGGAGCATATATTGCAACTACTGTTCTACAAATACTTGATTTTTATCGACTTGTTAATAAAGTTCTAACTATCACCTTAGATAATGCGTCTGCTAACACAACCGCGGCAAATAGCTTAAAATCTAGACTTTGTCCAATTAATCCAATAATTTTTCATGTTAGATGTGCATGCCATATTTTTAACTTGGTTGTAAAAGATGGTCTTAATTTATTTTCTGATGCTTGTAGTAAAATACAACATGCTTGTGGCTATATTTTTCGTGCTCATAAACAAAGTAGAATTCGTGAATTTGCTCAACAATGTGCTAGTGCTGGCCTTCCATTTAGAAAAGTTCCAAAAGATGTTTGTACTAGGTGGAATTCTACTTATGAAATGCTTACAATTGCTTATGACTATCGGGTGCCCATTCAAAAGGTATTTAATATGCATAATGCTTACCCTGTTGATCAAATTGTTGATTCTGATTGGGATGAGATCAGAGAGCTTACTAAATTTTTAGAAAAATTTTATTATGCTACAAAACAATTTTCTGATATATATTATCCTACTATTACACAAATATTATGGTATATTTGTGGAATTTCTGTTGTATTTGGTAAGTATAAAAAAAATCCAACTTATGCACCAGCCATTAAAGAATTATATTTGTATTTGAGATTTGAAAGTTCTATTAATAAAATAAAAGGCTCTAAGCGATGAATTATTTTTATGAAATGTCTTAGTTACTTAATAGTTAATACTTTAAAATTATATTAAATAAATTATAACTCTATTATAAATTTATATTTACTAGAATATTTCATAACAAGTCTTTTGTTTTAATATTTTATAATTCTTTACTTAGTTTTCTAATTTTCGTTTTAACATACTAACATAGTAACATTTAAGTTTATTAAATAAGTCAAAAATCTAGCCGTTGCAAACTTTAAAAACATAGTAATTTTCAAAAAACTAGACGTTTTTTTATTAAAAAAAAAATACACTTAAGGCCCACGAACCCGTCCCGTCCCGTCCCATCCCGTCCCATCCCGTTTGTTAGCGGGACGGGATGGGACGACCGTTTCGTCCCGTTTGTCCCGTCCCGTTTCGTCCCGTCCCGCCACCGTCCCGCTTAAATGTCGTCCCGTCCCGTCCCGTCCCGTTAATTTCGTCCCGCCCCGTCCCGTTGGACAGCCATAGTCCAGATACGTATAAATTGGTTCAAACACTACCACTACCAAAAAAATTGGCGATTGTGTGATCTACAAATAGCAATGATAGAGAAAAAAATCAGAGCTTTTAGCATCATCAGCTTTTGATACCATTTCCTTTGGTAGATGAAAATTGTGTAACAAAGAAAACAACTAAGAGACATCTAACCAAGCCATTCAACCAAAAACTGAATGCAAAATAAAGGCCAAAAAGAATTTGAAAAAATCAGGTATAATTAGAGATGAAAAAATGCCATGACATAAAGGCAAAAAAAATTGATCAGGAGCTTTCTTCTGTAGAATGGAGCCATTCCAACTGGAAAAAACTATATACTTCAATATGAATGAGCCTGGTGTAATCTCACCATGCACGACGAATATCGTGCATGGTGAGTTTAAGTTAACACTTTGAAGAAGCAAAATTGTTCCATTTCCCAGGGAATACCTTGATATTCTGTGGAAATTGCCAGCAACTATATGAAAGAAAAACATGCTTTAAAGGTATTGCTCTTGTATTCTATCTCTGTTCTGCTCCCACCACTGCTTCGCGTTGACCTCCCCAAATTTTTCGCGGCTGCATAGATGAATTAGAAGTTAGAAGAATCCATTTTGAGTAAGAACTATTGACACTTGATGTTCTAAGCATCTAATATAAACTCCAGAAACTTGTTCTTTACTATGGTTCTTGAATTCAGAAGTCAGAAGTAGGTGCAAAAGAGAGTGAGTTTCAATAGATAACCATCACTACATCTTATAAGCCAAAATTGTTTACTTATGGAAGAGCAAATAAAATGAATGACATTTCTCTGCATTAGAAGAGCATATTACTTCTAGTCTTTTTGATTTTTACTTGATGCACATCTTTATTAGGTAGCCAAAGGACTAAAAAAAAGGCAGCTCGATGCCCGAAACATCCACGTAGGATCTCAGGAAAGGCTGCACCCCAATGGGTGTGATGTAGGCAGCCTACTCTGATGCAAGCATCAGTGGCTGATTCCACGGCTCGAACCCGTGACCTATGGTAGCCAAAGGACTAGTGTCAACTAAATTTCCGGACCAAGTTCTCAACTTTCATCTTTTGTACACTGAACAAATCTAGCACATCAGAACAAGGGAACTAGAAAACAACAAAAACTACTACTACTACGCTTCAAGCAAGCCAGTTGGGGTCAGCATCGGCAGTATGAAATCTCACTGTCCATGCCGCTCCATATAAACCCGTCTTAAGTCCAAAACTGTAGAAAAAATAGTTATTGTGGCACTAGAAGCTCTCTACATTTCCACTAGAATAAAGATTTATAGCAAACATTTGACCTAAAGTAAATGTACTAACAAGGGAAGTAGAGAAGAGCTAGGAATTTGAAATACCTGAATCTTACACGCCGTAGCTCTCTGGTGCCATCAGCTAGTTGTCTGATGGTTATGTATACACCAGGCTCATCTTCTGCTATCCATTCTGACTCCATATCACCAGCATTACTCATGGAAATTGAAGCGTCTCTGGAGTCGGTTGTCATCCTTGACGCTTCCATACCGGGGGCATAAGAACTGGTTCCACCGTAGTTGTATTGGCTACTGCTCGACGGTCTATAATTTGTTGGACCCCAATCCTTGCTTTCCCTGGGTGATCCAAGCCTTGTATAGTTTGAATCTCTCTGCAGATAAAAGAAAACACATGAAATTCAACATCCTAGTGAAAGCTAATGCATAGTACATCTGATGCTTTTTTTAAGATTATTAAAAAATGGCATGTAAAGCTACAATAAGGGATCATAATGTTGTAAAATTTGAATAGCTGACAATGTACTTATGGTTAACTAATCCACTTTAAACCTAAGGTACAAAAGGGTATAAAGCAAATGCTATAATCAACTAATGAAGCAATTCTCAAGTTGTTACCACATGAATTTCTGTCATTCGGATCTGGTTTTTGAGTACTTTAAACTGTTCAATTTCTCCTATAGTTCAATCCCAGCTGTACTAGAGTTAGACGTCAAGCAAATCAAGAAAAATAGAGCTAATTTTTCAAATAAAATGTTTAATGATGGATGTATAGAAAAGCAGCAACAAGCTGGAGATCAGTTCTACACATATAAATACGAAAAAAAGGCGCGGCGTTCTTACTCCAAGCTCAGACCGCCCGGGAGTGTCAATAGCTTGCTGATGAAATCTCTGGACATTGTAGAGCTCCATTATTCTGTCAAAATTCTCACCCCACCATCTTTGAGCTTGCCATTTATCGAACATGTCCCGACTTCAAGTTAACATGTGAAACTAATGTCAGTACACTTAGGAAATTCATATTTTGTGCAGCTTAAAGAGCAAATTGGAAAGCTGGATTCCACGTACACATTCAATCAACTAGGCCAGTAACTCAGATAACATACATACACATCAAATGGAACTAAGAATGGTATAGTAGTAAAAATACAAGAAATTTCACAAGACAAGAACAGAACAAAAGAAAGCAAAACATCGTACATGATCTATTGTCTTTCGTCTGCTTTGACATAATGTCGATATGTAACATAATATGTGGGTATCTCGTGAAAATTTCCCAAACTTAACTAAAATTAGCAAAAGTTGCGTGTGTCTATATTGGACTCTTACACATCCATAACAGATATGTACCTGTTCTCGAGTCCATGTAACATGCACTCAACAAGACTTTGGACTAACTAATGGAGTTAAATGCATTGGTAGATGAATCTTTACATCGAAACTTAAGATAGAACAACAACGAAGAGAAGTATAAACATATATCAAATGATTAATGACGACTCAAATCCCTAAACCCTACTTTCTATTTTAAAAAAAGAGAAGAAGAAGTGGTGTGCATCGATTCTACATTTGAAGAAAGAATTGAATATTCATTGATGAATGGAAGGGACTGAAGATGGTCATGCCTATATTTTGAGGGTGTGAAAGATGAAAATTCTTAAGAAGGTTCAACTATACATGACAATCACCTTCATTTTCTTTGAATTGAAATCTTTAGACAAGAAGTTGAATATTTCCCACAATCAAGTTTCAAGATAAGAAGATTCTTGATATGTACCTAAATCGGATTTGTTTAAGATCATTTCCACTACTAGAACTAAACAAGACTCTGGGCAAACTTATGAATGAAAGGGACTAAAGAAGATCATGCATAATTTTGAAGGGTGTGAAGGAAGAAAGGTCTGAAAAAGCTGGCTTAACGGACTAGTTCAATACTACTACGACAATAACAACTACACTTCAATCCTATGGTCGGGTATATGAATCCTCACTGACCATGTTGCTCCATTTAAGTTCATCTAATATTATATATAGACAAGAAGTTCAATGTTCCCCACAATAAAGTTTGGGATTTTACACAATATAGCCCCCCCCCCCCCCCCCCCCAGAATAACAACCAGCAAATGTATATTTTTTTGTATATTAGTGTATAATACACATATTTTATACATAATCATTGTATATTTTTTGTATATTTGGCTAGCTATTGTAATAATTTTTGGCCGATTGGCAAAATGTGTTATGTTTCAAGATAGAAAGGTTCTTGATATATACCTAAAGCGGATTCGTTTGAGATCATTTCCACCACTAGGAAGAGAGAGAAATGTGATCTGAACACCAGGCTCCACCTGAGCAATCCACTCTTTTGGCCCCTCCTCGTCGGGCAGCACCACCTCACCTGACTGTGAGTAGACAGATTCTCTTTTATCATCATCAACACCACTATATCCTCCAGCAAATCTTGAATCAGCTCGAGGAGTACGATGATGTCGGGTACTTGTGAAATCCCAACCTGGAGGTGAACTTGAACTTCCTGGTTGATATGGAACGTCCTCTGAAATTGTTTCAAAATCAGGATAAGGTCTGTGACCTCTCCTGTAACTACTAGTTGGTGTACTGGACTTGCTGCTTTTACCAGAGACCTTTAATGCAATATCCTTTATCTGCAAAATTTTGTTGATACATTAGTTTTACACGAGACAAGTAGTACAAAATAAGGAAGATTCATTCATTGTTAGAAGATCAACAGAATTATCTTATTTTTGCTTTGTGCATCCGATATTCGAAATTCACTAACTTGACTAATCCGAATTCGCGTAGCATATATCACACTAAAGGAGGAAGCATCTCTTTACAGTTTTCCCATTCCTAAGACTCGAACATGAAATTTCGAGTTAAGGATTGAGGGATCCAATACATTACACCACACTCTTCGGTGGTTACGGAAGTATCTTAGCTTAAGAGTACAAGTCCAAAATTTGAGCTTGAACTTCAAGACCTATCCCAAAGAACAAGGCAAAAGATAGGCCAAATGACATTTTAATGTTGGTTTAACAATTAAATTACATATTGAAATCCTCAGGTGATTTAAACCATAGGAAGTGAAGCCAGTTTCCGCAGTAGCCATTAGTGCAGCAAGATCAGCAGGCAATTCAGCTATGGGCAGTGGCGAAAGTAGGAATTTCCGCAAGGGTGTTTAAACTTGAAAGAAGTGAAATGAATTCCGTGACAAAGGGTGTTCGGTATATGTTATACACCTTTAAACCTAATGTTTTATCTATATACACAGTATAATTTTTCGATAAAGGGTGATCAATTGACCACTGTTCGGATAATGTACCTTCGCCCCTGGCTATGGAGTTTGTATACTGTTAAGCTAAATTCAACTATTTTAGACATGAAACAAAAGTATATATGTGAAAAAAATACTAAACTTTTAATAAGTGTTAAATTTTGAAGCCATACTTTTGAAAATTAATGGGTTCAACGGTAAGAATATAAAGATTATACCTATCAAGTTTAAATTCTGAATCCGTCACCAAACTGTACGACATGCAAAAGAAAATAAAAAGAAAAGGAGGGGTCAAGTTTGATTGTCCAAAAGCAGTGACATTACTGTTTGGTTGTCCTTTGCAATACTTAAAGTCACCTACTTTCACGAGTTAACTTTCACTGCAGGATTGAGTAAGCAGAAGGCTGGAGAACAGTGAAAGGACAAGAATTCAATGGTGGGTCAGGTAAAAGAAACTTGGACATGTCTTTTCCAGACATATGAATTGTCTTTTGTCAGAATTTCCCTTACTTTGGATTTTATAGTATCAAATATTGTTCCCTTCATTTTCTTTGAAAATTCTAGGAGGACTCGACCAAAAAATATATTTAAAAAAAAGATGGTAAAGAATAACTCAATCAAATATGTAGGATCACTAAGATTTTCTAAAGCCTGTTCAAGGATTACTCTAAACGAGACATGACATAAAAGATGATTGTATTCCATCTTCTGTGTTGAATTACATATATTTAAATTCATATCTATATTGTCGTAAAAAAAACATAGCCTTGGTCAGAGGCGGAGCCAGGATTTTAAGCTTATAACTCAGGATTCTAATCTTTTTAAGTTATTAGGTTCTAAATTAATAATTTGTACATATTTAATAAAAATTTTAAGACAAATAAATTATTTGAACCAAATCTACTGGGTTCGGTCGAATCCGTGACCTAACATTGTGGCTTTGCCTCTGCCCTTGGTTGTATTTTGTAGGAAAAAGAGAAGGAAAAAAAGGTGCAGCATATCTGGCGTTCAAGGACGGAGAGTGATTCAAATTTGAACAGAGACAAAAAAAGAAGTTAAATGATTTCTTTTCATTGGCCCGATACCTGTGCTAATGGAAGCTAGATAATAAAATAGTCGAGATGCGCTCCTTTAGTTTAGACTTCACACCTATATATGGCATTATATGTCATAAGTTCGAGCTATGAAATCAGTCATTGATGCTTGCATCAAGATAAACTACTTACGTTACACTCCTTGGAGATATGATTTTTCCGCGAATGCTACACCAAATACGAAATACTTTGAGCACTATATGGCACTACGCTTGTGCACATCCGGGAAACACAATCACCATTTTAAAGATATGGGTCATCATATTATATGCTTCTAAGTGCACATGTGAGCTAGTTTCTGATATTATTTAGGTAGGGACATTTGGTGAACCTCCACTTCCACTGATATTTAATTATTATTACAAAGTTTCCCTTTGATCTAATTGGTCCGGTTAATCAACTTACAATTGTTTGTTAATTTATCACACAAAAGCATTCATCCGTTAGAAGCACAAATAATTTGTCACACTTATTTGTGCTTTTTAGGCTAATGATGAATGTTTATAATTAAAAAGAAAAGAAAAAACTCAAACCAGATTTCCCAATTGATTTAGAATCCGTTTGGATTGGCTTAAAAAAATGGATTTTCAGCAGAAATATCTTTAAAGCCAAAAAGGCAATAAGTTGGGGTAGTCCACTTATTGCTTTTGGCTTGTTTTAAGTAGTTTTTAATTTATTTTAAGTATTTTTTTAACTTTGCCAAACACTTAAAAAAAACTTAAGAAGAGCTTAAAAACTAATTTGACCAGCATAAAAGTCAATTCAAACACCCTCCTGATATCCTTAAGAATAATTTTCAACATTTTTTTCTCTCATAGATTCAAGGAACAGTATGAAATGCTCAACTAGCAACGGCGATCTTGTGATAACTAAAATCGAACACGTGAACTCAAATTATACTTTTTAAACTTCGTAGAAATTGAGATAGTTTGGGCTGATGAATATTTTTTCAAAACTACATACTTCAAACCAATATCTTTTTCAGTGAATAGCTTTACGTCATGAGTATTATATACTCCACACGAAAATCGAAAAAGAAAAAAAAATTGTGGCCGAAATTAAATAAAGTAGATAAAGGCTCTTATAATTGCATGATGATCAAAAAAGAAAATTCAGAAAAAGGTAAAGTTGGAATATTATGGGACCAAAGTTTAGACACATGATCCAAGAAATAGCACCCATTCAACATCTTAACCCCCCCCCCCCCCAACCCCCCCCCCAAAAAAAAAAAACGAAAACAAATACTCACTAGGCCAAGTTTTAGGGTCAATTAAGTCATTTTAATGATATTATAGTGCCCACTAATAAATACTACTCCCTCCGGTCCAAAATAAGTAATTTTTTGGCCTTTTTTTTATGGTCCAAAATAAGTGATGTTTCCAGATTTCAAGAATGAATTATGAGCAGNGTCCAAAATAAGTGATGTTTCCAGATTTCAAGAATGAATTAATTATTTTTTTTCGACATTGTCCTTGGAGTAAATAGTGTTGGAGTATGTGTTAGGAGTGTTTATGTGAGATAGTAAAGGTTAATATGGTCAATTTCATTGCTAATTAATGCTAAAAGATGGATTTCTTAATCTGTGTGAAAACATCAAAAAAATCACTTATTTTGGACCGGAGGGAGTACATCCTCTATTAATCTTTGGACCCTCAAACACATTTTGTGGTCCTCCTCCACTCCCCAAGGAACCAAAAAGTTTCATTCAACTCTTACCCCAATTCCTAGCCCAAACCCAATTGGAGATGTGGGCCCAAGCAATGAAAATATGGACCCCACAAAGATATATGGCTGAATTGACATGTAATGCAAAATTGCAAATTTATTAAATTACGAATGTGACGGGATTGTTAAGATCTCTTCACTTTAATTAAACTTGGACCTGAATCTTGAGAATAGAAAACATCTTGGTATGAAGCATTTTACGCACTTAATTAACTTATTAAACTTACATGAATTTACACTAATCGTGCCACTAAATTTCGAATACTAGAGGATTAAAAAAAATATAGAGAAATAATAGAGTAAGGGAAGGTATGGGATTAGAACCTGGGCCGTCAAGCTTTTGACTGAGTCTTTAGTATTGGGGGTCCCGCGTGGACCTTCTTCTCCTCCATCATCATCTATTTTTTGCTTACATGTTATACACGTCAACATCTCCCTTTAATCTCTGTTATACTCTACTTTACTCTCTTTGGTTCCTGCAATAAAAAAATTATTCGCATTAAATATTTGGATAAATCATATTTAGTTACTATAATTTAATGATTTGATAAGGTGAAATTATATATTACTACTAGTTAACTATGGTTTACAAAGAAAAGTTTACTGATGAAGTTACACATTTGGCCGCTTGACCAAAATATTTACATCTCCTAGCAAATATACATTTACTCCATATTAATCTCACACACACACACACACTATATATATATATATATATATATATATATATATATATATATATATATATAAAATATTGAGTTGGTGTAAATATTCAAGGCAGATAAATTTTTACCAAAGTAGGTTGTAGTGGTATTACATAAATTTGCTAATGATAAAACGTCCCTTAATAAAAATATGATTTTAAATATTACTATGAACATTTTAAAGGGGAATAGATGTTGAGTTCCACACACATAAAAAGAAATGTGAAATGAATATGACACCTCTTCAAAAAGGCTTTAAATGTCTGCTATACATTTTCCAGGAAAATTAAAGAGCCAATAATTTATTCAAGAAAAGAAGTCGGGGCATTTGCATCTATACCCGTTTTTTGTGCCACATTTTAACTTGTGCCCGCTTTGCAAAAAAATTGCAAGTGTACCCGCTTTTTCACATAACTTCAGCCCACGGGGCTGAAGTTTTTCTTTTGTACTGGAAAACTTCAGCTGAAGTTTTTGTCTTTGTAACCGAAAACTTAAGCAGTTTTCCAGCTTAAGTTTTCCAGTTATAAAATAAAAACTTAAGCAGTTTCCAGCTTAAGTTTTCTAGTTATACAATAAAAACTTAAGCTCTAGAGCTTAAGTTTTCCAGTTATAAAATAGAAACTTAAGCAGTTTCCAGCTTAAGTTTTCCAGTTATAAAATAAAAACTTAAGCAGTTTCCAGCTTAAGTTTTCCAGTTATAAATAAAAACTTAAGCAGTTTCCAGCTTAAGTTTTCCAGTTATAAAATAAAAACTTAAGCAGTTTCCAGCTTAAGTTTTCCAGTTATAAAATAAAAACTTAAGCAGTTTCCAGCTGAAGTTCTTATTTTATAACTGGAAAACTTAGTTATAAAACAAAAACTTCAGCTCTTTCCAGTTATAAAATAAAAACTTCAGTTCTAGTTTTCCAGTTATAAAATAAAAACTTCAAGTTTTTGTGTTGTAACTAGGAAACTTCAGCTCTAGAGCTGAAGTTTTTGTTTAGTAACCCGGAAACTTCAGCTCTAGAGCTGAAGTTTTTCAGTTATAAAGGGAAGCTGAAGTTTTTTAAAAAGTGGGTACGGATGCAAACAAAAAGACAAAGCGGCTACAGGTTAAAGAGGGGCGCCCAAATAGGGCGCCCCGTGCAATTTTTACAAAGAAGTCACCATCCAAAAATCAATAAGGGGAAATATTAACACTATTGTAATCAAACATGTTTCACTTTCCAAGAGATTGTCCTTTTGTCTCAAATAAGCATATTTATCAACAACAAAAAAAAAGAGGAGCCAAATATGAAGTAGTATTATTTTTGCATATTCCAATCCAATCAATATATCAACAAACCCCGTTATGCAGTCCCAACAAACTATGTGAAACAAATAAAAAGGCTTTAATTCAAAAACAAATGACAAATAAATAATATGGAAATGTTACGAAATGAGTTTATCTTCTATGCGGTAATATTATAATTACATGTAAATACATTGATAAGCATAAATTAGTAAATTAATAAAAAATAGTGATTAACCTATTATCAAAAGTTAAAACACATTGATAGTATAAAGAATCTTTACATTATATATATAATTTAAATCATTCAATTTGATTTAAAAATGACTTTGTACTCCTATACTTTTCCACCCAAAAAATATAAGAGCTTAAAAAAAGACAGTTCGATGCACGAAGTATCCTGCGTTCATGCCGGATTCGGAAAATGAGCGCATCCCAATGTGCTATAATATATGAAGTCTACCCTAATACAAATACCGGTGACTAATTCTACGATTCGAATCTTTAACATATAGGTCATACGGAGATAACTTCGCCTTATAGGAAAAAGAAAACTTGGTTCAGAATCCCAGGAAGTGAAATCAAAAGGGAAAAGAAAGAGTTGTTTTTATTGGAAGAAGAGATTCAAAAACAGTGATCACTAGTTGAATTCCAATCCCTAAGTTTCTTCCACTGTGCTAATAGAAAAAGCACAAAATAAAGAAAAAAAAAACAACAATATCTTTTTTTTAATTTCTTAAACTCCAGAACCGAAGTTCCTAACGCATATCCATTATCAATTCCTTTTATTCTTCTTTATGATCAATCCTTTTCTTCCTAATTCCTCTCTCAATACACTCAAGAGACGAAGTCAGAATTTAAAATCGATCAATCTAAAAAAATCATATTATTGCACGTAAACATTTAATTTTTTAGTGTATATATATAATTCGATTCAAATATAATAGTATTATTTAACTCATAGAATAACAACAACAACAATAACATTAACTTTTCCTATGTATTTCCACAATATGGGGTTTGAAAGTATAATATGTACGCACACTTTACCCCTACCTAGTGGATGTAGCTTAGTTAACTCATAGAATCCGTTCTAAATCTGTACGTACATACAGTATGTACGTACATGACATACTAATACATCAACCTATAAATACATATCACTCCCAAGAGGAAAAAAAGAAAAAATTGAGAGAGAAAAGACAATAAATAGTAGAATAGCAGTAGCTGCAGTAATAGCAGTACGAGTAGTAGTAGCAGAATAGGAGTTGAAAATTGAAACTGGAAAGAGGAGGCTTTAAAACATCATTGAGACATTGACTAATCGCTTTTGAAAATTGAATGAGCAATTTCTAGCTGTAAAATCAGCCCATTGAATGTACAAAAAACAGCTAATACTTTAAGTTTTTTCTAAAAAAAAAAAAAGCTGTATTCTTTTCCAAAAATGAGAAAATTAATCAAACCGCTCAGAATTTAATCAGAAAATTCATACCTGAAAGAGTCACCGAAGCTATAATTCAGCTAAAATCCACTCGAAAATTGATGAATTTACCATCCAAAGAGCTTTTATTTCTCTGCTCTGTTCTTTTCTACTTTTTTGTGAGTCCAAAACCCTAAGTAAGATATCAAATCAAATCAAATGAACAGTGAAAAATCCCTAGCATTAAGCTTCCACTACAGGTACGAAGAATCTTCTGCAAAAAATGGAATATTCGCCGGCGCCGGCAAACTTCCCGCCGGCGAATTTTCGGAGATTCTACGGCGTAAAAACCGGAAGTTTCAGATTCTTATATATACACAGAATCTTCAAGTACGTAAAATATCTGTATATAATACACACATTAGTGTGTGTCTGTGTGAGAAGGAAACAAATATAGAATGGAGACAAAGGAGAGAAGGAATCGGGATATATGTTTGAGGTATTTATAGAAGGATGTGACGCTGTCATTTTTTCTGGTGTCGTTATCTAACGGAAAACGTGTATTTTTAATATTTGTGCATAGTCTGATTGTACGTTGTGCATAAATGGATGTACTTTTTAATGTGGAATTGATAATTGGACTAATGGGTGAAGTGGACCAGATGGGCCCACCTGTCTAGTTGAAAAAATAATGTTAAAACATGAAGGCACGTGGCAAGATTTGAGTGGATGAGAACCATTAGGGTAGATCAAAATTGGAAATTTTTATTCCTAGTGTTGCCAAAATGGTTGCGATTGGAATCAAATATTCTTTTTAAGAATTTTTGTTGTGTTCTGTTCCAATTAAATAAAAAAAATCATGTTTCCTATTATTTAAGTGTCAAATTCCGATTTTTGTTTGTGACAAGTTAAAAATTGATCAAATCTAGAATTTCTTTTTGGTTTTCGTATGATTCAACTCCTAAAAGGACATTGAAATAATTACCAAATCACTTAGATAAAATCGAGATCTATTTAATAGTAGTTGAACATTCTTTTAAATACGTTTCTATTAGTAGTTATATGGACAATAACAATAAATTCAGTGTAATTCACAAGTGGATTTTGGGAACGTAGTATATATGGAGATCTTACCCTTATCTTGAAAAGATAAAGAGGATATTTTCAATAGACCCTCAGCTCAAAGAAAAATTAAAAAAAGAAGCTCATTCAAACAAAAGACTTGAAAAAATTTTAGTGGCAAAGTCAAGGTTTAAATTTTAGTGGCAGTAGTATATATATATATATATATATATATATATATATATATATATATATATATATATATATATATATATATATATATATATATATATATATATATATATANCGGATGAATCCTCTTTTGCCCTTGTAACTTTACCTCTGAGAATCTACATTTGCAGCTATGAACGTGTGTACATGGTCGGAAAAATTCTAGCTCACTTATATTTAGTGTATTTACCGTAATTGTTAACAATAACAACAACAATAAACTTAGTGTAATCTTACAAGTGGGGTTTGAAGAAGATAGTATATACGCAGACCTTAATTACCTCTACCTTGTGAATAAGGGAGAAGAAGAAACAGTAACAACAAGCAATAACAATTTACCGTAATTGTTACCGTCATACTTTGGAACAAAAATACCCCTATTTTGGATGGAGTGCCACGTGGCAGCACCAGATTAAAATGACCAATTTTTTTTCTTTTTTTTACCCAACCCGTTTTACAAAAACCCACAACCCGAACCATATTTTCACTTTTCAGTTTATCTAAAGAATTTTCTTTTTGTAAACTTAAAAAAGAATTGCAAAATATTTTCGTTTTTTTAAACTGAGTAGATACTGAAAAGATTTTGCAAAACAAATTGTAAAAACTGAAAAAATCATTTTTTTAACAAAATATTTTTTTTTGTAAAAACTGTAAAAACATATTTGTAAAAACTGAAAAAAATTGTAAAAACTGAATTTTTTTTGTAAAAACAGAAAAAAAATATTTTCGTTTTTTAACAAAATATTTTCGTTTTTTAAAAACTGAAAAAATTATTTTCAACAAAATATTTTCGTTTTTGAAAAATATTTTTTTT